ATAAAGATTCCCTTTTGGGTGCTTTAAATGTCTCAAACTTCAACTGAGTTTCTTTTTCCAACAGTAGTAGCAACAACCCGCAGCTGTCCCCTTCCCCTTTAAGAAGGGGATGTTCGTTTCAATATGGAAAGCCCAAAGGAAACCACAGCGCTGGGGTGACAGATACGTTTACAAAAAGGGGGAAAAAGGGCAGGGTCTATGTCTTTTTGCTTCCTTGGTTTGTCAGAACCCTGAAGTTTTTTAGTTAGCATCGTTTATGAACTTTTTTATTTTCCTCCTTTTTAAAATTTAAGTTTTTCCCTTTGAGTTGACAGAGAAAAACAGCTTCCTTTAAAGTTTTTAGCTTTGCCTTTAGGGCAGGGAACCCGGAGTCGCTCGCATCCCAAAAAGGGCCCCCAAGTGCTCTTGGTTGATGAGAAGTGTTTGGGCAAAAAAAACCCAAAATAAGCTTCTTTTTTAATAGCAGAAACATATTTAGAAAAAAAAAGGGGTACCCCAAGAGCAATGGTCACACCCGATTCTTTGGGTTTTTTGGGGGGTTTTTAAACCCCCGGGGATAAGAAATTTGAATAAAAAACCCAAAGAGAAAAAAAAAAAGAAATGGAAGAAAGAAAATAGGACACTACGAGGGAGGGGTCAGTGTTTGGGGAAATTTTTGAAAAAGTTGCTCTGGGTTTAAAATGTTTTTAATTTTTCACTTGAGGACCCACACCAGGAGACGCTTTCTTGTCTTCTGATAACTAAAATTTCCCAAAAAGCATTAAAATTTCTTTTTATCCCCCCTCACTAAATTTCCCCTATTCCCCTCTCCCCAATTTTTCCTTCTTATCCCCTTTTTAAACCTCCCCCCCAAGGGCTCATCTCTTCCACTTGTTTTTCTTTCCCCCTCCTGTGTACCTAATCATTTGAGATCAAATTCTCAAAAATTTAGTTTCCATTCTTTCTTTCCTTCGGTTAAATTTTTCTATTTTTTTACCAGTGTTGGCCTTCCAAGTTTTTCAAAAATCAATATCTATCACCGCATTTCTGGTAAACGGCGTAGCTCAAAAAACTAAGGGATCGGGATTCGATCCTCGGACGAGTGGAAACGTTGGCCGTGTTTTCCTACCCCTTTTGCCCTGTTAATTTTGCAGTAAGTACCTGGGGGTTAACCGAATGTTGTTGGTGCATCCTGGGCAAGAGGATCAAGGGACCCCCAATAGAAATAGGCCAGACAGTCAGACGACAGCGGATTTATTGGGTTTTCCAAGGTTACAAACTCTCGGGATCAATAATTTCAATAAAATCTTCATCCTAAACATTTGAGTGGTTCCCACTCGGTCGCACTGCTTCCGTTCTTACTCAAAAAATGAAAAAAAGGTTAAATTTACAGAGTTCTGGAAGAATTTATTCAGAATTTTAACCTCGGAGGATTAATAGCTCAGGATAATCCATGAACGTCAAACATTATGGATTATTTCTATCGGGGGCCTTGATATAGGACTTCCTCCTTGATGCGACTCACAACTGACTAATTTCTTAGCATATATGTACTACTAGAGAACAGGGGCAGTAGGTGTTAGTAGACTTGTCCCTATGTCCCGCCTCGTTAAGGGCTCGACCCCCGAGCGTTTTGGGTTGTGAACCAAACACACTATCACCACGCAAATTGCGTAATGAATTCATTATTACTTCTAACCAATAATTTTGTATTTAGTTCATCCCTATTGTAACATGCTTAACTAACAAAATGATGGGTGCCCATTTCCAGCAGCATTTATGTATGATCCTCTGGATGTCAAAATAACAAGCTGGTAGGACACAGATGGTAAAACAGTACATGGAATTCGATATGGTACTGTTAACTTTTTGTTAAAAAGGACGATAAAAAACATGTACAAACAACGAAAATAAAATCTGTTCCGTACCGTCAGCTTTGGACAGTAGAAAGGTTCATCGAATAACGATACAGCATACAGTAAAAAAACATAGTGTATAATGCTAATATACACATCAAAATAAAACTCAGTAACAGTAACATACACGACAAAGGATACACACACACACACAAAAAAAAAAAAATCTACTAGGGCGATATAGAAAACGAGAAGCAAGAAACTTTTTTGACATTGATCAGCTAGAGACACTAGCACATCTGCTCCCTCGACTCCACGTATAGACGCGTAGATGATTCATTATCTTTGTAAACCCGGTCATGATTGTGACCAGATCTACCTGGAGTTTATTACCTTTGTAACTTGTTCAGCTGTCAAAACGTTGGGGTCCAGTCCCTGGACCCATTATGTACCTCTGTAATCTTTTGACTACCGCCCACAGGATGGGTACGGGGTGCACAATGAAGATATTAAACTAACTCCCTCGACTACGGGAAAGATTGCTATGTGAAGACCTTAGGGGAAGGTCGGAAGGAACAGGAGAGGGAGAGGGGGTGAAGGTGAAGGAAATAGGGAAATTGGAGGAGAGAAAGGGGAAAGGATGGGAGGGGATTTGGGGTGGAGTTGGAACTGCAGTGGTGATGGTTAGATAAGGTTGGGTGTAGGGTTAGGGGATGATGAGGGTATACATTGGGTTATATGGGGC